CATCCCATCCCATCCCATCCCATCCCATCCCATCCCATCCCATCCCATCCCATCCCATGTCATTGCCAACCCTCCACCCATGCCTGTTCAGTCCCCATCTTGTCCCCATGCCATGCCACGCCATGCCATGCCATGCCATGCCATGCCATGCCATGCCATCCTCCCCAGCCCATCTTCATCCTATGTCCATTCCCATCATGTCCTTTTCCTATTTTCATCCACTTTCCAATCCCATCCTCATCCCATCACTACCCCTATCCCATTCCCATCCATCCTATCACTGGTCCCATCCCCTCTTCCTCCCCATCCCAACCCATCCCAATCTCCACCCCCATCCCAACCCAACCCATCCCATCTCATCCCATCCCATCCCAATCTCCATCCCCATCCCAACCCATTCCATTCTCTTCCCACCCCACACCATTCCCATCCCACCCCCATCTCCATTAACCCTCCAGGGAATCCCGCTGCCCCATCTGCCACCCCTGGCAGGGGGTGCCCCCCCAGCTGTGCCCAGCTGTGCCCAGCCCTCACCGCTGGAGCAGCTGGGGCCGCGCCAGCCCGGCTCGCACTGGCACAGCTCGGGAGCCACGCAGCGGCCGTGGACGCACTCCTGGCTGCAGTGAGCTGGGGGGACACGGCCGAGCACGGGGCGTCCTCAGGGAGCTCTGGGGACACCCTGCAGCGGGCCACAGCCCCAGGGCCCCCCCGAGCCCGGGCCCCACTCACGGACACAGGAGTCCCGGCTCTCGTAGTAGCCCTGGCAGCACTGGTAGCGCCGCCGGTAGTCGGTGCGGACGGCCTGGCGGTACTCGGTGCGGTACACCACCCTGCGCCGCCAGGGGACACGGTGACCGTCCTGTCCCCGCTGGCCTTGGGGACACGCTGTGCTGGGACAGCCCTGCCAGCCCCCCGGCCTTGGGCACAGCCCCCCTCCAGTCCCGCCTGTCCTTGGGGACATCCTGAACCGGGACAGCCCTGCCAGCCCCCCTGTCCCCTCAGCCTTGGGGACACCCTGCACTAGGACCGCTCTCCCTGCCCCCCCTTGTCCCTCCTGCCCTTGGGGACACCCTGCCCAGGGACAGCTCTCCCAGACCCCCAGCCTTGGGGACACCCTGCACTGGGACTGTCCCCAGCCCCCCTCCAATCCTCCCAGGGCTTGGGGACACGCTGTGTTGGGATAATCCCCCTTCAGCTCCCCATGGCCCCTTGGCACTGCCCTCCTCCAGCCCCCGGCCTTGGGGACAGACCCTCTGCAGACCCTCCATGAACTTGGGGACACTGACACTGAGACAGCCCCCCTGAGCTTGGGGCAACCCCCGTCCAGCCCCTCCCCCAGCCCCCTAACTGTCCTTGTCCCAGCCTGGGGTGAGACATTCCCCCTCCAGCCCCTCACAGCCTTGGGGACACCCTGGGGTGGGACTGCCCCTCCATGAGCCTGGGGACACCCTGCAGTGGGACAATCTCCCTCCAGCCCGCCACGGCCCTGGGGACACCCTGCGGTCCCCGAGGGGCTCTGGGGAGCTGGGGGTGCTCCCACCTGTGCTGCGGGCAGGGCAGGGGGAGGCCCAGACCCCCGGGGCAGGGCTCGCTGGAGGACACCACGTGCGGTTTGGTGTAGGACTCCTTCACTGGCGCCGTGAAGCTGCGGGTGGGGGGAATTCAGGGTGACTGCAGGTCCTGGGAGACCCCACCGCTGTCGCTGTCCCCCTCCCCTGCCCCCTCACTCCTACCTCTCCCAGTAGCTGCAGACGTTGGGATCTCCGGGCCGGAGGGCAGCCAGGAGCCCGGCGTGCACCGCCAGCACCGCGGCCCGCAGCAGCATCCTGCACGGAGAGACCACGGCTTCACCCCGTGCCTCCGCACATTCCCGCTCCCCACCCACCGCCCCCGGCCCCAGCTCCACATCCGACCTCCCTGCAGGGCTGGCTTTGCATTCCTCCAGCCCGAAAAACAGCCCCGGCCCCGCTGCTCCCTGACCGCTGGCCTGTGCCAAGGGGAAACTGAGGCACGGCCGCTCAGCAGCCTGGGTGGCCCCACCAGCTTCATCCCTGAGACACCGCGGGGCACATCTGGAGCATCACCCCGAGCTGTCCTGGAGACCCCACGCTAAGGGGGGGATGCTGCCGGAGCTGGCAGCCCGGGGTGCCAGGGTGGGGCTGGGCACGGCGCCTCCAGCCCCTGGCACGGCGCCGCGCGGCCCCACTTCGACTCGCTCTGTGTTTATTCCCAGTTGAGTTTCCTGGATCCAGCAGCTTCTTGCTCAACCCAGAGAGGGTCCGGCTCTGCCGGGGCGGCTCTAGGAGCGTTTCCAGCCGGGGGCCGGGCTGGGAGGGCCGGCGAGCCCCGAGCCCGCCGTGCCGGGCGTGCTGTTTACCGGGATGAGCGTTTCGGGGCAGGACTGCCGTGTGCCAAGGAGGAAACAGAGGTTTCCTGATCAGCACAGCTGGATTTACCGGGGCTTCCTTGCTGCTCCGGCCATAGGACACCCCAAAGGTGCTCCCTGGGTTCATCCTCCCCCTCAGCAGAGCCCGCTCTGCGTTTTGGGGCCAGAGCATCCGGTTTGGGGTGGAAAAACTGTCAGTGGGAAAGTTTCCCCCCCATTTCCCTTCAACTCCCGGCAGTGAGGAATTAATTGCTCATCCGCTGCCAAAATTCCCTCCCATGGACCCTGCCGAGGGGGGAGGGCCAGGGGAGCCCCGAGCTCATCCCCAGGCTCATCCCCCTCTTCCAGCAACGTGGGGGGACCAGGGGGGTCCCAGCATTGCTGGGAAAAACAGGAACCACGGGGAGATGCTGGCAGGAAAAGCAAGGAGTCATCAAAACTTGCCGGCACGTCCCATCTGCTCCTCACCGCGGGGCTCAGCCCCCCCAAAACGGCAAGAGACACCCCCAGACCCGGCGCTGCTCTCCCCACTGGTGTCCCTAAGAGCCCCGCGGGTGGGATGAGGAGCATCCCACGGGTGATGGGGCTGAAAGGAGCGTGTGGGGTGAGGGCAGGGGAGCTGCCCTGCCCTGTCCCTGCGGGGGACAAGGTGGTGGCCACCCCACAGCCGCTATCTCTGCCCCGGCGCTTCCTCCGCCACAGCCCGGGGTCTGACGCGTTTCCTCGGCGGACCCGCAGGGATGGGGCTGGCTGAGGGCGAGGGGGGCACGGCTGCAAGTCAGGGGCAGGGACAGAGTCAGGGTCAGCTTTGGGGTCGCCTCGGTTGTCGCAGCACTGTCCCATGCCCCACCCGCTGGCCACCAGCGTCCCCTCACCTTGGAACCTGCACCATCCCGTGCCCCTCCCCGGGGCGCTGGGGACACAGTGACCGTCCTGTCCCCCTCCCACAGCGACCAGCAGGGGACGGTGCCACCCGCCCAAGCCGGCCCCAGGGTGCCCCGGGAGGGGACAGGGCACTCACCTGGCCGGGGGCCGCGGGGACAGGCAGGGTCAGGGCGCAGCGGCCCCGCCGCGGGGCTGGCCTGGCCGGCCGGGATGGCGCAGCGCGGCCGTCGGAAGCGGAGGGAGGGCTGGAGCTGCTCTCAGGAAGTTTGGACGTAGAGTCAACTACGGAAAAGGGAAAAAAATAAAAAAATCCCCTTAATTATTTTTTTTTTTTTTTTTTTTTCTTTTTTTTTTTTTCTTTTTTTTCCCTCTTCTGTCCAGAAACCAGAGGGTTTTGGCAGAGCAGCAGCACCGGCACTGCTCTCACAGAGCACTGGATGAGGAGAGGTCTGTGGGGACATCCTGGGGCAGCCCCTCAGCAGGTCCTGGTGCTGCAGGATGTCCCCTTCCCCAGGGCTCCGTGGCACCCATGGGTGCAGGGCCTGACCCGGGTTGTGCCCCAGGGCTGGGGTAAGCGAAGGGACTCCCAGAGCAAGGGGCAGCTGCTCTGTGGTGACAGCATGTGGGGACCAGGGTGTCCTTTGGCATCAGGGCAGCGGCTGCTGGCAGCAGAGCAGAGCCCAGGGTTGGTACCCAACACCCCTGCACAGCATCCCTGCATGTCTGGGACACATCATTCCTGCATCCCAACACCCTGGGCACATCCTCCCTGCATCCCAGCACATCATCCCTGTATCCCAACATCCCAGGACACCATCCCAACAACCCTGGCACCTCATCCCTGCATCCCAGGACATCATCCCTGTATCCCAACATCCCTGGCTCGTCATCCCTGCCTCCCAGGATGTCATTCCTGTATCTCAACGTCCTGGGCACATCCTCCCTGTATCCCAGGGACATCTCATCCCTGCACCCCAAGTCTCAGGTGCACATCCCCTGCCCCATTCCGGGCACAGTGTCCCTACACCCCGGGCACAGTGTCCCTACATCCCGGGCACACAGCATCTCCACATTTTAGGATCCTGGGCATATCCCAGGACTTCAGGCACGAGTCACCCCCTCACCCCAGACACCCCAGGATCCCTGGCCGTGTGTTCCCCTGCATCCCAGGATCCCTGAGCACACATCACCCCAAATCCTGGGATCCCTGCCTTGCATCACCCCCGGATTCCCAGCCATCCTCCACTTCTGCATCCCAAACATCACAATTAAATCCCGGACTCCTGACCATCTCCCCTCATCCCCACGTGTTCCCCCGACCCCGGGACACCCGGCCAGGCAGCTCAGCACCACGGGCCCCCTTGCCCAGCTGCCCCCACCCCCAGCACACATTAGCGGCTCCCGAGGCGCCGTTAATTGCTCTGCTCGTTACAGGAACAGCTCTAATCACTCACAACGATTTTCACATCCCAGGGAGACTCGGCTGCCCGCCCCCCTCGCCGTTCCTCTCCCCGGGTCTCCATTAGGATCAAGCCCACCCGCAGCTGGGGCCACCCCAAAACGGCGCTTCCCGGAGCAGGGGTGGGCGTGGGGGGCGTGGGGGCTGCGGCGCCCTGGAATGGGAGAGGATATTGGAGATGGGACAAGTTGGGGACATCCGGAGCTGAGGATCTGCTAGGGAAGTGACCCCTCCCTCCGATGCTTTTTAAGGTGTCCCCAGGGCGAGGGGGGGAAATATTGCTCGGGGACATTCCAGCGGCACTTCAGTGCTGAGATGCCTTTGCAGCCCCCCCGGGACCCTCGGAGCCGGAGAGGACGGAGACCCCCGAGTGCACTTTGGTGTGGCTGGGGCTGTGGATGTGCAGAGCTCATCTCAGTGCCGGGATCCAGCTGTACCCTCAGCCCCCCTAAACACCACCCCAGCAGGAGGGGGACCCCAAACACATCACTGATCCTCTTAGAGCGGACCTGGGGTCCCCTTAGGAGCTTTTGGGATGGAGTGGGACCCTCTAAAGGGCAGACCCAACCCTGCCGTGGTCAGAGCTGGTGGCACCAGGGCGCGGGAGGGATGGGACCCGCGGGGCAGGGTGTGAGTGGCGACCACCAGCAGCTGCACGAAGCGGAATCGGGCCCGGGAAGCCCCAGCCGCGATGAAACCGGGTGAGCAGGGCCAGCCCCGGTGCCGCTGGGGCGGCAGCCTCGCCAGGGAGCGGAGCCGTTAATTACCTCATTGCCAGAGTCCATTACCGCTCCCCCCGGAGCAGTGAAATGGAGAAACTTCGCTAGGAGGGAGGGGCGGGGGATAAAATCGATCGCGGGGTGAACCTTAACTCTTCCCTGACCGCTCTACGGGGGAAACTGAGGCACAGGCACGCCCACGAGGCATTGCCACGCCATGAAGGAATCTGAGGCACAGATGCAGGGAAGCCCACCCTGTTTGGAGAGGGGGTGTCACCACGCATGGTCCTTTTGGGGCACTGGTCTGCGGCAATCTCCAGCAAGGGGCTGGAAAAGCTCAAGGTTGTAATCTAGTTCCTTCCTCAAATTAGATAAGAGGGGAAAAAAGGCCATAAATCAGCGTGGGCAGCGATTAGAGACCCCAAGGAAGCAGGTGGGGGGCTCTGCCAGCCGGGTTGAGCTGCAGCAGAGCCAACCTGCCCATGCCAGGTGCCCATTTCCCGGGCAGGACCCTCAGCAAAGATCCAGGGAGAGCCAGAGGGGCCTGACCCTGCTGCAGGGCTGAGGGCTGCATCACGGGCTGGGAGCTCCCAGTTCCTCCAGTTGTCATTGTGCCACACCAGCACTGGGCACAGCCAGGTGCCACGCCAGCCCCAAACCCCACCACAGACCCCCTGACTGCTCCCACCTTGTGCCGTGCCTCAGTTTCCCCCGCGACCTCGCTTTCCTCCTGCTTATCTTGGGTCACAGGGGGTAACAAAGGAGCTGCCAGGGCTCTGCCTGTGCTGCCTAATTATCCAGATGAAATCAATTCAGCTCCATTATGGTCAAATCCAGGTCTCTACCATTACCAAGGCGGCTGGAGAGCCTGAGGAAGGATGATGGAGTGGATGCTACAGGGTATGTGATAACCCCCTGGTTCCGATGACAGGACACAGGGAAGGGGGGATGTCACTCTTTTGGGGGGATGGGTGTTGGCTTTGTGCTGGAAAATCCCATCTTCCACCTGGAGCCCTCGGCAAGGAGACTCCCCAGGCCAGGGTGTGGCACAGGAATCCCTGGAGTGCTGCCCAGGGTGGTCCTCATGGCACAGCCAAAACATCCCTGGCTGGGCTCGGGATGGGGACATCACCCCTGCCCCGGGGTGTGGGTACAAAGCACGGCACGTGTGACCCCTGCACCCGGCTCCTGTGCTCACAGCATCACTGCAGCCCAGGCAGCGTTGTCCCCTCATCCTGGGAGGATCCCTGGCACAGCACCTCCCCTCCAGCTCCTCTCCCCCACACAGGGCAGCTTCCCTGATGTGAAAATCCCCCTTTTCTCCCCAAAATGGCCCCATCCCACCTGCCCAGCTGACACCCCGGAGCACGCAGGGGCCAGTGCAGGGGAGACACGGTTTATTAGTGACTGATTTCGCTGCAGAGTGGGCGAGCATGGGGCAATCCCAACTCCCCCAGGTGAGCTGAGCCCCCCCAGCTCCTGCACTGACGCCGACCCCGTGCTGGGGTCTCCCAGCTCTGCCCCCCCTGAGCCAACCCACATCAGCCAAGAGCCTCCATCCTGGCACTGTGGGCATGCCAAGGAGCCAGGCAGCAGGGCCACAGCCCTGGGGGTCCCCCAGCCCAGCCCTCCAGCCCCCCCACCCCGGGAGTGGGCCGGCATTTTGCACTATAAATAACATTTCAGGCTTCTCCCGCCTCGGGGCATCAGTCCAGGGCTGTGTGGGGCAAAGCCGTGCCCCTGGGCAGCAGGGCAGGCAGGGGAACAGCAGGGAGCAGAGGGTGCCTGGGGGTCCCCACTCAGCCCAGGATGTCCAGATAGACAGGGGGTGTTTTGACGAGGGCCTGGAGGCGGCTGTGGATCTCCTTGATGGGCTGGCGCTGCTGGGGCTCCCGCTGCCAGCAGCTCTGCATGATGGCATAGACCTCGGAGGGGCACGTGCGGGGCCGCTCCAGCTCCCGGCCCTGCGTGATGCATTCGATGGCCTGCAGGAACAGGGATGGAGGTGGGATCCCCTGCTCTGGGTACCCCTGGGGGGGCTGTTACCATCCTCCTTGCCCCCCTCTGGGTTCCCCCAGGGTGCTGTTACCATCCTCCTTCCCCTGCTCTGGGTGCCCCCAGGGGCTGTTACCATCCTTGCCCTGCTCTGGGTACCGCCAGGGGCTGTTACCATCCTCCTTCCCCCCCTCTGGGTACCCCCAGGGGGCTGTTACCATCCTTGCCCCCCTCTGGGTACCCCAGGGGACTGTTATCACCCTCCTTGCCCCCCTCTGGGTACCCCCAGGGGCTGTTATCACCCTCCTTGCCCCACTCTGGGTACCCCCAGGGGGCTGTTACCATCCTCCTTCCCCTGCTCTGAGTACCCACAGGGGCTGTTACCCTCCTTCCCCTGCTCTGGGTACCCACAGGGGCTGTTATCACCCTCCTTGCCCCACTTTGGGTACCCCCAGGGTGCTGTTACCATCCTCCTTCCCCTGCTCTGAGTACCCACAGGGGCTGTTACCCTCCTTCCCCCACTCTGAGTACCCCCAGGGGCTGTTATCACCCTCCTTGCCCCACTCTGAGTACCCCCAGGGGCTGTTATCACCCTCCTTGCACCACTTGCTCACCTCAGTGTTGGAGAGTTGGTACCAGGGCTGCTTCCCGTAGGTGAAGATCTCCCAGAGCACCACGCCGAAGCTCCAGATGTCGCTCTCGGTGGTGAATTTACGGTACAGGATGCTCTCAGGAGGCATCCAGCGGATGGGCAGCATGGTCCTGCCCCCCACCTGCCCACAGCAGGGCTGTCAGCACGGCAGGGACCCTCCTGTTTCCCTTCCCCCCATCCCTTAAGCCCCAGGTTAGATGTAAGGCAGAAATTTTTTACTCTGAGGGTGGTGATGCCCTGGCACAGGTTGCCCAGAGAAGCTGCGGCTGCCCCATCCCTGGAGATACTCAAGGTCAGGATTTGGAGCGAGCAACCTGTTCTTTTGGAAAGCATCCCTGCAGGTTGAGCTGGAATCCTTCCAAGCATCCTTTCCAACCCAACCCATTCTGTGGTTAAACATGAATGGAGAAGGGGTGGGAGGCAGCAGCCACGAGGGAAAATTGA